TCCATCAGTCCATCGTTTATATAACTCGATTTTGTTGTTGTTATGGCGGAGGCCGCTGACCAGCCAAATAATTCGACTGTCAAACGTACAGGGCGGGTTTGTGCACGGTAGAGATATTTACAGCCTTGGAAAATTTTGCTTCCATCAAACAAATATGATATACCTGTATCCTCCCGCACAATAGTAGCTTGGTATGTCCTAAGTATCAAGGAATCTATAATTTTTTAAAATATATTTTCTAAATATAGAAATGTTTCTATATTTAGAAAAATTACATTTAGTCTGTTTCATTCGTGACAGACTAAAATAGAGATTTTCATTAAAATAGAGATTACATTTTTAAGGATTGGAACAATTTACCCAATTCTATTTGAGAAAACAATTTCCTTATAACTTTTAAACATATCAAGAACTTTGGATTATAGTAGTGACTTATTTTACTTTTTACATCGTAATTTCCTAGTACATATACTTCAGAAAGATATATTATAACGTATTACTATTAGCTATATTGTAATTTATTTGCAGAACCTCCCTGAAAACCACGTATGTGATGGAAGCTGTTAAAATATTACTTTAATAATAATAATAATAAAGTTTTGCATATATATATATGTACTTCTAATTCGCTGCAGATTTCTTTCAGCATTTTGACATAAAATTTTTTCAATTCGTTACGTTGGCGTAATTCACAAGTTACTTATATATTAACGCAACACGCAAGCAAGTTTATATGAAAGCAAGTTAATATCAAAACCGTGAAATTATACAAACTTTAGATATATTTTTTTATTTCAGCTGCATGTGTTTTCACAAAAATTAAAAAGTCAAAAATCACCTGTGGAAATAGTCTCGTGGTAAATTTTCGGTGTGAAAGCAAACAATTCTCGACATGTTGCACGTGTTTTGACAGCCGAATTATTTAGCCGGTCAGCGGCTTCCGCCATAACAATAACAAAACGAGTAAAATTAAACGATGGAGGAATTGACTAGCATTGCCTGTTGACGAAGAATCACGATTTATATACGAGACTGTGTCTACAATAATCATTAAGATATCGAAAGTGATTAACACTAAAGAATAATGGAAGCTAACGAACGTCAAATAATAAGTCAACTGACAATCGGGGTCATTAAATGACAAGGCTATGATCGAGGCATACTTTGTATCAATTATATTGGGGTAGGTTTTCTCTTGACTTTCTAAATAAATCTTCAACATAAATCGATGTTTGATAATTTGTTTACTAACGGACGTCTTTACATGATGCAAATGTATAACTTGTCTTGATTAATATATTCAGCTAGAAAATGTTTATTATTTATACAATACGGTCCATTACGTCCATACATAACGGAAATGCCTGTGTCAGTGCTTTTCCCTAAAAGACTTTAGACAACAGTAAAGGTCAAACGAATGTTCATCACTGTTCTAGGTCCAATAATATGTAAAATTTTGCTCTTTCAAAGCAGAGTTTACAGTAAACACGAACGTTCTTATTTGCTCCAAACTGCCGAAAGTCGAAAATGTTGATGTTTTGTTGGCCTGTAGTACCTCCAAAATTTACAGGCCGCAATATTTTATTTTATATTATGTAAGACCAACCTTTAATCTCACCATACAAATAATATTACATTCATAGCAAGTCTAACTTTTGAATTTTAGTGTTTTTATTTCACCCATTTTTAAGGAACTTGGAAATTTCTATTTTAGTCTATCATGAATGATGTCATTTCTATATTTAGAAAACAAATTTGAAAAATTTATAGATACCTTGTTACTTAAGACATATAAAGCTACTATTGTCTGGAAAGATTTAGTTTTATGATTATTTTTGTTTGATGTACAGAGGTTTAAAAATCAGCAAAAATCCACTATTGAGAACAGCAAATATCGTAATTTTAGCCCTCAACTTGACCCCCCTGGAACTTTGCCAAAATGCAATTAGACTGAAAACAAAATGCATTTTGAAACAACCCTTATAAAGGCAATCTCAACTACAAAGTTTGAGAGAAATCTATTTGTTGATCCAAAGAGGTCATCAGGTTCTTACAGAGACTGCCTCTTAAAGAACCAACACGCGTGATTTCACATAGTGCTACGTTGTTGGATCTTATAATAACAAATTACCCAGGATACTTTGTCTTCTCTGATGTTTTAAGTCCTCCTAGGGGGTGTGATCACTCGTTTGTTTACGCTCGTATAAATGTTTTCCCTGAGAAACAAAAATGTTATAAACGTCGGATTTGGGATTTTTCCAAAATTGACTACACTGTACTACATACAAATCTACTTAATATTAATTATGAGGACATTTTTGTGAATACTGATAATATTGATGACTTGTATTTTAAATGGTATGAAACATTTCGCAAAGCATTGGAATTTAGTATACCGAATCGGATAGTAACAATTCATCCAAGAGATAAACCGTGGATGAGTTCTGATATTAGAAAGGCAATTCGTAAGAGAAATAGGTTATTGAAATACTATTGCCGTCATAAAAGTCCAAGAGCTTGGGAAAACTACAGGATGCAAAGGAATTTGACAACATTTCTCATACGGACTGCTAGGAGGAAATACTATGCAAATCTCAGTGACAAATTACAAGATCCAGAAATAGGCCAAAAGAAATGGTGGGGCATAATTAAATCACTTTATGGAAATAAAATCCATTCAAATATACCTGCACTACTTGAAGGAGATCGGATGATAACGGATGCGAAAGAAAAAGCTACGTTATTTAATGACTATTTTTGTTCTGTATGTCAGATTGAAAATGGTGACACTGCTTTACCGAGTTTATCTGCTTTTCAAAATTCAAAGTACCTTGCTAATATTTCTACTTCAGAACAAGAAATAAATATTTTATTGAGAAATGTTGATCTTTCTAAAGCTTGTGGTAGTGACGGTATCGGTAATTTTATACTTAAAATATGTGCTGAATATATAGCTGATCCTTTATGCCGTATTATTAATGAATCACTTTTGCAAGGAGTCTATCCTTCCTTGTGGAAGTTTGCAAATGTTATTCCAATATTTAAAAAGGATGATCGTCAGAGTAAAGTAAATTATCGCCCTGTTTCGTTGCTAGCTTGTTTGTCAAAGATTTCTGAAAAAGTTGTCTTTATAAGGCTTTATAATTTTTTATTGGATATAAACTTCCTAAATCCATTTCAATCGGGATTTCGACCTGGTGATTCTACTGTTAACCAACTAATTTTAATAACTCATAAAATTTACGAAGCTTTAGAACAAGGCAAAGAAGTTAGGATGGTTTTTCTGGATATTAGTAAGGCTTTTGACAAGGTTTGGCATAAAGGTCTCCTATACAAGCTCGAACATCTTGGCATTCGAGACCCCTTATTAAAATGGTTTAAAACTTATTTAACTGGGAGAAAACAACGCGTAATTATTGATGGCCAGTCATCTGACTGGAGAGAAATTAAAGCAGGTGTACCCCAAGGCTCTGTGTTAGGTCCTTTGCTTTTTCTAATCTATATCAATGATATTACTACCGACCTTCAGAGCAGTTCTTTTCTTTATGCTGACGATACGTCCTTACTTGAAGTAGTCGATGATCCTGACGCTACTGTGGCAAAGCTAAATGATGATCTTGAGCTTATAAATACATGGACTCATAAATGGCTTGTAACCATAAATTCTGATAAAACTAAGTCTATGGTATTTTCTATCAAACGTCAAAAGCCTTTGCATCCACAGTTAAAATACGATAATCAAATTATTGAGTCTGTTAGTAATCATAAACATTTAGGTGTCACCCATTCTTCTAATCTTTCGTGGAGAACGCATGTGTTTAATATTTATGAAAAAGCATAAAAAAGACTGAACCTTTTGAAGGGTTTGAAATTTAGAATAAATAGAGCAGCTTTAGACAATCTATACAAGGCACTTATAAGGCCTATTCTAGAATATGCTGATGTTCTTTGGGACAATTGCTCCCTGAGTGAGTGCGACCTTATTGAATCAATTCAATATGAATCCGCAAGAGTGGTCACGGGCGCTATGAAGGGCACCAGCAGATCAAGACTGTTATAGAAGAGTTGTCATGGGAAGATATGAAAACAAGGCGTTCCATGCATAAACTTGTTTTATATTACAAAATTGTTTTAAATAACCTTACTCCAAATTATTTATCCGATTTGCTGCCCCAGACAGTGCAACAAAGGTCAGGGTTATTATTGAGAAATTCAGAGAATATTACTTTGTATAGGTCAAGGACGGAGAGATTTAAAAAATCCTTCTTTCCTTCAGCTACGTCAATGTGGAACAATCTCCAGGTTAGAGAACGTAATATATCCACTGCTCAAGCATTTAAACGTTCGTTGCTTCAGTACTTTGACATCGTGAACTGCAATAAATTATACGATTTTGCCATCGATAGGTTTTCGTCGATATTACATACTCGCTTGCGTTTAGGTTGTTGTGGCTTAAATTATTACTTGTTTAAAGTTAAATGTAAGATGTCTTCAATATGTGCTTGTAATGAGGATCATGAATCTGTTGCTCACTATTTGTTGAAATGTCCCCGATATGCTGCTCCTAGACAAAACTTACTCTCGAGTGCTGCACAATTTTTTGGTAATAACTGGTATCTCTTGTCGGATTTAGAAAAAGTCAACATTTTTCTTCACGGTTCTAAGAATTTGGATATGTTAGATAATCTGAATCTTTTTATGTTTGTTCAGCAATATATAAAGGAAACCAAACGTTTCCTTCAACAGTCAAATATGTGTTAATCTAACTGATAAGGGAACCAGTTGTTCAACTTTCAGTGTGTGATAAATTTTTCTTTTTTTTATCAGTGTGAAAATGTGTAGCGTGAACCCCGTAGATGAGCTTCATGCTCTTGGGCAAACGCTAGTGAAAAATAAATATGTTTATACAAATTTTCGTTTCTTTGCTTGTTACCTCTTGTCCACTGTCTCCGTGCATGCGATTTGGCCACCCAAAAATGGCGGACAAAGCCTGATCATTCCTAATAAAGGCTAATTTGCACAATCGTTATTAACAAGGCAAGATTTTCTAAACAAAATATTACAAACCTAAGTCACAACCGGCACAAGAGGTCGTAGGTTCGATTCCCATCGTGGCCAGGCATATTTTTCAAGCTTGCCCGGTGTAGATATACACTCAGAGTAACACAACAAGCCTCATATTCACCTGAGTACATTACACCAACACAGAAAAAATCATGATCCACTTACCTGTTATGGTAGTTGAACTGTAAGTATCAACACATTCGTACTCGGTGTAAATTTCTTTTCCAGTATCAGGACAATACTGCGATGGTAATAAATTTTCGTTCACGGTAAATTCACAGGATTTCATCCCACCACAACGTGATTTCACCTGGCAGTTGGTTAGTGCACTGCATTTCGTATCGATGCGTGCACTACCATCAAACTTGCCATTCTTATAGAAATCTCCATAAACAGCCTTCTTGATGTCAATACGTTGTTGTGGAGAACAATGAAAATTTTCCATTTTGGTGCCGTAGTTGGTCACTGAGCCTGAAACAGAGTTAACAGTCTAGTATCAATCTTCTGTTCACAATACAGCAATTTAAAAGTATATCAATCCAGTGGCTTGAGAGAATTGCTTAAAATATTACAAAACTAACGTGCATTAAAAAATCATCAAACTTCATGACCCTTCTTTTCTAAAAAATAATTATCTTGTGGTGTACAAGAAGATCACAACAAACAAAAGATCAATTACATGTATGTTTTTAAAAAGAGGAAAGCTTATTATACGAGGGTGCATTATTATACAGGATTGAGGGGTTATTAGAAAGGGAGGTCGTTTTCTCAGTGGGAAGTTGCCTTTTTCAGAGGGCAGCTTAAGATCGGATTTAAAGTACATACAGTTTTGTTTACCTTTCTTGGTCCTAAACATTTCAGAGGCCGTTTTATTGCTGCTCTGCGAAGAACCATCTTGAGTCACAATTTCAACTTTATACCAAGTATACGGTGTAAGTCCTTTAATGTCAATTTCAGTACTTCTATATATACGCTTTTTTTCTGTACCGTTAAGATATATAACGAGGTGTGTTATATAACTAGAGGCTGAAGCGGAGGTTTGTAGCTTCCACGTCACACTTGCCGAGGTAAATGATGGTTGAATTTTAATGTCTTGTACAGGAGCTGGCATTTGGGCTAATAAAATATCACAAAACTTAGCAAAGAATTCAACATGTTGTTGATGTATATGGCTTTGGACGGAAAATTTAAAATTTTGGACCGCTTCAGGCAATTATCTTTTCTCGCGGATGATTTGCCCGCCATTTTTGATACTTCCTCTCACACATTAGAGAGTCTCCGCACCACGAAATGCGACTTTTTATTATTGAAGTTGTCTGTAAAATGCATGGTACATTTACAGTTACAAATTTTAAAAGTCACTTTTTACGTTTTTAGAACTGTTTAGAATCTTTCGCGAGGGCAGACAGTACCCCAAAAATGGTGGATTTTGACCTATTCTAATTCAATCTCTGTAATTTTTAGATGTTTTGTTATTTTTTTGCAATTTTTTTTGAGATGGCTTTGGATATTTTAATTTTTAGGGCCTTTATTAAGGCACTAGGCGAGAATATCGGTTCTGCATGATCAAGTACTCGCTCATATTTGCAATAAACAAAACTATGTCCAAAAAATAAATATATTATATGGGAAAATACGCTTTTTCAACACAACATTTCTAGCAAATTCCTGTAAACAAACTAACATCACTGAGTATATAAAGGTATACCTTCTCCACACAGTTCTATTCTGAGACAAAAGTTCTGACTTTCACTTGATTGTATCTTTATAAATCTCACATTAAAAATATCAACATGCGTAGTCGATGCTTGGTAACCGTTCTTGTTTCCTGTTATCTAAATAGAAAATATTTCCAATTCAAAAAAATTTCATACATTTGTCTAAAATCAAATTCATGTATTCCAAGGCCACCATCAAAATGAAACATAGCAATTTTGCATATTAATTTTAAATTGTATTGCCTTGTAAGAATTTGTTTAGCTGACTTCCTTCGTCCCCCCCCCCCTTCATGATCAGTAATTTATATTGCGCCTTTTGTGGTGAAATATTGTTTCCTATATGAAACAATATACTTTAATTTATCTTATTAATGTCGCGAAAGAGATTTGGATATACGTTACTGAACTTGTCAGTGGTTGATTTAAGCAAAAGCTCGGTGATATCAAGCGAGAACAGATGAATGACCATTAATTACCCTATATAGTGACTATAGGTCTATGATTATATATTATCCATATATGTAAACAATATTGCTAGTGGCTATGAAAGTTCAAACACCTTAATTTAGATATGTTAATATAATCCAACATTCTAGTGAAATTGGTATGTTGATTTTCTCTCCATCAAAATACTTTAGTTGAATGAAACCTGCTCGCTTTGTTGATCCACTCTATCATGACCGTCATAAATACCTTTTGGCTATTTTCATAAGTTTCATTATGACTGTACGTCATTAAGTATGACCCACTCCACTTCGTCTGATCTCTATTTCCCATTACCACAACCCGTGTTATGTGATATTCTTTTTGAAGGTCGATCAAAAGATGAGGTGTAGAACCTGAAGCACACCAACCATCGGCCGAAAATCTTGCAGGGAAGGTGGGAACGTTTTTCAGTATCGGTCTATCACATACCTTACCTACAATGAAAATAGAGAAAGAAAATCAGCACCTATTGCAATGCCATGCATATAATGGCAAATATATGTGATGAGGGAAAAAAAGATCGACCATGCAGTACCTTATATCTTCGTAAATATAGTTAGACATAATGTGCATGCTACGTAATATGCTTAAAAAGTGTTTCAGGGAATCCTGTATCTCGGATACAGGTTTCTACGTTGAAACAGCTTGCATCGGCCAACGTTCATTCATCACCAACAGTCATTCCGGACTATCATATATATAACCTCAATTCATGGTTCTAAATTTAATTTATCCAGTTTGTTAATAAAAGGGTGTACAACAAACGTTTTGTTTTTAGTCGCAAACGTCATTGCCGGCTGGATGTTGAACTGAAACAGGGGTAAGGTTCACATTTTAGCTGATCATGCATGTTTATTTCGCCCGAAACTGGTGATTACCTAGGTAAGATAAAAATCTTACTTATTCGTCATCGCTGGACGTTGAACTGACACAGGAGTAAAGTTTACATTTCAGCTGATGATATTTATTTCGCTAGAAACTGGTATAATACGGTATTTTATCGCCTCTGGCGACACGTATTCGTCATCGGTTGGATATTAAACTGCATGACACAGGTGTAAGGTTCACATTTCAGCTGATGATGTTTATTTCAGTGGGGGCTTCTATATAGTAAAGTACGTAGATAATTGATAGTACTGTTATTATGTAGACCAGTGCAAGTTCATTGCTTTTGACTGACAATAGCATGTGCAGTGAAACTGACATAGATTGAGGTTTTCGTAACATGTGGTATCAGTATATGCAGATATTTTTCACGATCATCTGCAAACGGTTTGTCAGGTTGGGGTGGGGTGTGTCTCCTTTATCCCAAGGAGACTTGTGACGTTAGTAATACCCCCACCTTTTCTGTGCTAAATGCTATATAATAGTTCTTAATTAATAATTTTTCTTGTTAATCATTAAAAATTGATTAAAACAATAAAGCGGCTATATGCAAACAACCGTGCACATAAGCCATAATTATGCCATAAAGGCTTTGACTGGTCTTGTAGTACTCGGCAGCACAGAAAACCGAGTTCAACGTGACAAACAGTTTGCCGATGGTGGTTTAATATATGCAGGGAAGCGATAAACTCTATATGTTGAATGCATTATCGTGGGAAACATAATAAACTATGATAATATTTAGTTCTTTGTATGTTTGTAGAGGATAAAGATCCATGAAAACTTATACCTTACGAAAGCTTTGCAAAATTAAATAAACGTTGCGTTTTTTCATTATATAAACATTAAAAACGTTATAATTATCTTCAGGGTAAGTTGGATCTCAATTCTCAACCATTGTTAATTTTAGCTGATTTTATCCGTGTTACTCGTAAACCGTATATGCAGGGCGCTGTGTTTTATTATACGCCTTGATCGTACTCACATGTGACTCGTGAAATGTTAACACTTGAAGTGGTTGTAGAAAGAACAAGATGGGTACAACAGGATGTTCCACTGACTTGTGTGTTATAACATATCAAGTCTCCAGTTGCAATCTCAGATCCACTCGGAAACTGACCAATTCCTGGAATATCTTTCGCGTCCGTCTTGTTAAATCCCAAGTGCTGGCACAGCATTTTCTGACGATTTTTATCCCAATTCTTGTCCTTAACAAATCTCCATCTTGAACCATCATATATTTGGATGTAACCTTCATATGATCTCCATAATCTTATCTTAGGTGCTGAAACAGAAATTTTAAAAGAAAGAGTAGATTTTATTATTCGAAACGACCAGGTGTTAAATTGTCCTTTCTCGCGCCATGCGACCAACGTCCGCTATTTTCGGGTGGCAAACCGGGCAGCAATAGATGATGAGAACAAGCGAAAGAGAGATTTAGTGAAGTAAAGAGTAGCTACTAATGAACAATAGATTCATTATTTTCATTCCTTTGCTTGTTACCTCTTGTTCACTGTTTCCGTGCGGTTTGGCTACCCAAAAATGGCGGACAAAGCCTGATCATTCCTGGTAAAGGCTAATTTGCACAATCGTTAACAAGGCAAACATAAATCACAACCGGCACACCCGATTACCTATATATACATGAACTTACGGTTACAGCTCAACAGCTGGCGTCTGTAGCTCAGCAATGGCTAGAGCCTTGTACCAGAATCGCAGGGCCGTTCCTGCTGGTCAGGTCCTAAAGTGTATATATATATATACTCACTTGGATTAAATACCCTAAAAACAGCAATCTAATATTACAAACACTGATATACTCCAATGGGTTTGTTTGGCCACCATCCTAACTTCGACGTCCTCCAGGTTTAAACTCCTTATTATTGTATTACTACTATGTATGCATACATTTAAAATTGCTAGAAAGCTATATATACCAGATTCAACATCTATCAAACAATGTTGCACAACAATGTTGGACCTACATGTTGGACCTACAACAGGGCATAAATGTATGCCAAAACTAGTTCTTTAGAGAGCAATTGAATACAGTATTGTGTTTTAAAAATTACTACTCCCTTTGCAATTTTCTTTAAATTTCACAGCTCATGTGACTGCGGTACGATCTATGGGAAATGGGATGTGGGGAAAATTCGAACCGGAAAATTAAATGGGATTGTATGCTAAAAATTTTCAACCAACACTATCCTGTATATTGATGAATCGACATTGCAGGATTGACAATATTGGACGATGTTAGACTCAGGGTTCAACGGCCTTTCTATTATTTTCTATTACTATATATACTCTCCATATAGTTGTGATTATGCATGATTACGAACTACAAAATTGTTCAAAGACGCACTGTATATATTGCAATTCATTAAGTTATACCGTAGCGGTTTTTACTATATAGTCTAGAATGCACCCTGGCTGCTTCAACAGTTAAATTATACTTATTTCAGAATCTCCACTTTACCTGCAGTTATAATGGTTGGCTTATCGCTATCAACACAAGTGTACTCGGTGTAAATTTGTTTTGAAGTTTCAAGACAATATTCTGATGATAATAAATTATTGTCCATGGTCAGTTCACAAGATCTCTTTCCACCACAATGAGATTTTACCTGGCAATTGGTTAACTTACTGCATGTTGTGTCAATATTTTTGTCATTAAAGAAACCTGTTTTATTAAAATCTCCATAACCCTCTGGGTGCCAGGGTTGGAAAAACTTGATAAAAAATCTAACAAATAGGATTTTGAATACATTTGAGACCACCTACCAGATTTTGGGGGCAGTTTTAATTTTTAACCTACATAACCTGGTTTTCAGAACTGTTGCTCAGGCGTAAAAAATAATACCTGTGGTTCGGTTCCTGACCGACCCTATTTTTTTCTGCCGACCCTATTATTTTTTCACCGCGATTGACTGTGCGACCTATTTTCTCCAGGTGGTTGCGGGCTGCTCACACAGCGTGCCAAAATGGTGTCTGTTGTCACACTAATTATTGAACCAACTTGCCTAAATTCGTCCATAGGAAATGCGCATCTCTAGTTAATTTTGTTGTCGGGACTCTATTGCAAATCGCCCAGCAAAAAACCGCCAAAACCATGAAAAAAAATATTCAAAAAAAAAAATTATTTCCGACCTACCGACCCTAATTTTTTCACGATATGAAACCAGAACCACAGGTATTTTTTTTACGCCTGGGGACAGGAGCAACATTGGCCTTTACAGTATAAAATAGCAATGAAAAAACTTAGAACATACAATATGCAAATGTTTTGAATGACATAGTAACAATTGGATTTAATATGAATATATATTATATTATTCACCTGCAGTTATAATGGTTGAGCTACTGTTATCAACACAAGTGTACTCTGTGTAAATTTCTTTTGAAGTATCAGGACAAAAATCTGATGGTAATAAATTATTGTCCATGGTAAGTTCACAAGATCTCTTTCCATCACAATGAGATTTTACCTGACAATTGGTCAAGTTGCTGCATGTTGTGCCAATATTTTCGTCATTAAAGAAACCTGTTTTATTAAAATCTCCATAATCAGCTCTCTTGACCATCATATATTGTTTGGGGGAACAATGAACATCTTTCATTTTGGTGCCGTACTGTGTCACTGATCCTAAAAATGAAGATTACTACTTCTGTAAACAATAAATATGACATAAATATGGTTGGAGAGATTTAAACATATATAGGGTCTTGAAGTATGTCAACACTTGCGCTTGTATTCTAAAAGCTTACTCAATCTCAAACTTCTTGAGTGTCAGTGCTGTTTTTGAATAGCTGGAGGGGTAAGTGCCTCGTACATTACTATGTGAATACTCACCCGCTATTCAAAAACAGCACTGACACTCAAAGAAAGCTCAGTTTCAGTGTGAGTGACATTTTAGAATACAGGTGTTAGTCGTCATCACCTTAATTCAGGGAAATATCAAGTTGTGTTCTCCAAATAGGTGTACGCCTCCAAAATGTAGCTTACCTACAACATTAGCTAAACACCGCACGACGACAGACGTTGTTCTCCTTATATATTCACCTCCTCCCCTTTCCAGTCATTATATAAATAATGTTTTATGTACTAGTTAAACTGACATAGGCAGCCGATCTTTATCTGATATACAAACTCGAGCAGAAGGCGAGAGTTTGTATATCAGATAAATATCGGATGCGAATGTTATAGTTATAAAATGTTTCACGTTATAGTTATAAAATTTAATAAAAAATAAATTTTAGGGAGAAAGTACTGCAAACGTTTAGGGACCGTTCATTAATTATACGTCAGGGGGGGGGGGGCTTGAGGAAAAAGAGCAGAAACGGTGCAAGTTTTCCATGACTTACCCCATTAAGGTGTTAATTTTTTCATGACCCCCCCCCCTTCTGACCGATAATTTTTTTCACTGCCCCCCTATTTATTTTCACCAAGTTCTACAAATTTTTCAAAAAAATGTTGTCAACGGGACGGGGAGGTCAAAAAATTTTCCCGACGAACATAAGCATAGTCTAAAAAATTTTCTGGACTAACATAAGCATATTCAAAATTTTTCCACCAACATAAGCAACGCTTCCAATTTCTTCACCACAAACATAACAAAAGCTTTAAAAGTGTTAAAATTGCAAACCATTTCATCATATGGTTTTGGTTGTGAAGGGTTAATATTTGAAACTTGTCATCCTAAAATATTAATAATTACCACAAATAATTTTGGCAACCCCCCCCCCCTTTCATGCTGAAAACACTTTAAAAGCCCCACCCCTTCTAACCATAAACTGTTTTGGCAACCCCCTAACTTTTCTCCAGCCCCCTGGTCCTTAATTAGTGAACGGTCCCTTAAGGCGGTTTTCCAGTCCTCACACGAAGCTCCTCGCAGCTCGCTGCGAGTGATGCATGAGCACTTTCATCCAATCACAATGCTAAACAGTTAATTTTAATTAGATGCAAGCACTCGCAGCGAGCTGCGAGGAGCTTCGTGCGAGGACTGGAAAACCGCCTTTAGTCCTTCTACAAGCTTTTGGCCAAGATTGAAGTTCTTTGTCAGTTCTTAAGTAAAAAGGATGTCTGCAGACTTGTAGATGCAAACTTTAATTCTGACTCACAGAGAGCAGTAGGTTTTTAGAATTCAATCTATAAGTTCAATTATGACGGATCCGATTATTATCTGATATACAAACTCGAGCCTTCGCCTCGTTTTTGTATATCAGATAAAGATCGACTTCTCATGTTTTAGCTAGTATGAATTTACATACGCCCAGATCAAACGAGGATGAGAGATGACAATCTCGCGACCTTGGTTAACTGTTATTCAATGCTGTTTTTGGAACTATACTCTATAGTTACAGTTACATCCTCGTTAAAAGAACTAGTTACCGGTAAAAGTTACAAAAATGTAACTATTATTTTAATAGTTACCGTTACAAGGTTACTTCACGATTTTTTCGACTGGTTACAAAGTTACTTTCAATTTTTTGTAACTTGTTTAAAGTTACATATGCAGGTTTTAATAAGTAAATTACTGTAAAAAATAGGATAATCCGACTGGAAGCCGACAAAAGGGAGGGAAGTTATTGTACAGTCAATGGGTTTATCGACCACATGTTTACCGACCACATACTATATATGAACTAGTTATATAGTTACACTGTTATGCAGTTACCTCTTTTCAAAACGTAACTAGTTACTACTGTCACTTAAAAAAGTAACGATTATACTTGGAATATCGCAACTTGCAACGAAGTTGCTTACAGAATACAGCACTGCTGTTATTAAGGGGCCGACCATTTAATTCTTGAGTGGGGGGGGGGGGATTTACTGCTGGCAGGGAATTTTTCTTCTGGGGTCGTTATGTGCAAAATTGTTTTTCCCATCCCATCACCATGTACGATTATTTTCCACTCTCTCTTTCGCAGAATTTTTTAAAAAATAGCTTACACTATTTAGATTCTTTAATTATAGTTAACGTCGAGTTTTCTAGCTTCATGCATTGCTTTTAATAATACATATTGCTATGAAGTATAACATTTGGTTCAGGGGCTCTTTTAAGGATGTGTAGGGATTTAGTAAGGGACCTGGTGAAGTTCCAGTTGACAAGTCTGTATCACTGCAGCTACCTGCAGCATATATGTATGGTTTAACTAATAAGTATGCGTCATAGGGCAGCAGATCAGGCCATAACTAGGATTCTGAGACAACCGATTCGACGAAGGTGCGAGCCTCTAGAGGGGTCTGGAGGCATGCCTCCCCAGAAAATTTTGGATTTCTTGAAGCTCAGATAAGCTATATTGAGGAGTTTTCCAACAAGAAATTAACCGTACACTAATCCAGAAAAATCAAACCAGCTGATCTTCTGGAACTGGTCAAATCGATCCCTGCAACCATGCTGTTTTGCAATATGTTTTTCCCTCACCAAATAATGGGGCAGGATATTTTCCCCCCAGTGTGTTAGTGCAGGTATTTTTTTTGTTCAGAATAGCCTTGCAAGAATTAAATTTTTCAAAATCACCCCCCCCCCAAAAAAAAGTTAGTCCCCTAATTGGTGCGTTCCCAACATTACACAAAAAAGTATGTTCTAGACCTTGAAATGTCCCCTGTAACAACTCTGTTAAAACTGGTTATTTTAACTAATATGTTTTTACAGTGTACGGTACACTGACGCATTTAACCATGCATATATAGTAGTTACAAAAGTTACAATATTTGCAAACGTAAAAGGGTAAGATTGAAATGATATGAAAGATGAACGCAAAGTTAACTAGTAATTAATACATTTAATAATTTGTAAATATTTACAATTTTTACAAAACTGCAGGTCTTCGAGATGGTGTTAGTAAGGTTATTAGGTTAAGCTCATTGAGAAAGATTTTACAAAGCCTGTATTTTAAAAATTAAAGTATTTGAAAATGGAAGTACTGAATATTCACTTACCAAAAGTAAAGTTTTGTTTTACGTTACTACATCCATCTTTTTTCAGATCAACATAACTTCTATTAGGTTGAACACAAAATTTCACTTCGTAAAGAAATAAAGATCCAGCATCTGTTTGTTTCAAATGATGAGCACTACTGCTTTGAAACTTTTTTCCCTGTTTATTTTTGCCGTAATGTATGAATAAGCGATTTAGGAATTTCATTTTCTTCTTAGTGTTAGTGTTAGACGCTAATGTCCCTCCAGTCTTGATATTTTGTAACCTTTCTGTATCGAGATAACGGAACTGTGCACTAACATTTAAGCAGTTGTTAACCATTTCAGCCCAGTAACTTCTTGACTTATTACCATCCGAGATCTGACTTCCTGCTGCAATACACTTTCCAGACTGAGTATGCCTGAGAAAAAGACTTTGACAACCTGCAAACAAAAAAATAAGAACTCGATAACCTATTTAACATGCTTTTACATCACAGTACATACGACAAATGGTATGATCTTGAAAATCCAGGATATTGTTGAAAATTCAAGATGATATTTCGACTCAAAAATAATTGTCAACCTTGAGTAATTATTTACAAGGTATAGAAAACAGATTATGGATTATTGCATTAGGATGTTAGGACAAAGAATTATTGTGCCAATTTATTTTTAGGGACATTTTAGTTTTAGATTAATATTCTCACAGATTAATATTCTCAAATTTTACCATGTAGTTATGAATTTTTTAATCCCCGCTCACCCATAACAGAGTCTCGTGTAGCATGCGAGACGCCACAAAACTAGATTACTAAAACAGCTTGTGGTCACCATATGGGGTTGCTGATGTCCTTGCTGCCAAATATAACATAACACTGAACATAAAACTTGCAGCCAATGACTAACACTCTAAATTGCGTACGTCTATGTACATTGTAAATTTCAAGCAGTTAAATCATCTCTAAAAGTGTTGTTTTGTCGTCGTTTTTGGTGACAGAATAACACTTTTGGAGTTAATTTAACTCCTTGAAATTTACAGTGTAGCATACTGATACTTGTGCATTTGCGTTTTGACACCGTCTAATTTATCTTTCAAGCCAGCTTGGAGCATTGGTTTAATGACCAAAAGCCAACAGCTCGGTAGTTGAGTTCAAGTTTGATTTCATTAATGTGTAGGGTAAGGTTTGGTTTGCATGACCTTGCAGATTATTATTATTATTATTATTTATTAATTTTATTATTATTAAATAAATTTTATTACATACAAATTATATATTGAATTTATTAGTCTCATGAGGAATTTGCAATAAATTTGAAATATTGTTGTTGAATAGTGTGTCTGTCCTATTGCTCTACTTAAATATTATGTTTCAAGATGGAACTTCTATATTATAGTAGAGAATGAAGAAAATTCAATGAGGATGTCATTCCCGCACATATACAAAATTTTCCTGATTTGCATGATCTTCTCTTCCATTCTCTCAATTAAGATAAATTATTTTTGAAACATTGCTTCAAAACACGACTGTTCAATTAAATCCTTGCGTTTTGCAAGCTATATCTATATACAGCATTCGCGTTCTTGCAATATATTATATGCAACCTTTCGCCATTGGCATTGACCGAAATTTGTATCTTATACACCATGCTCTCTCGTGCTGTATATATTTGCTTGTACAAATTCATGTACAGCGGCATCATAACTAGGGCATGGGCATTCATATTAGATCAAATTAGATCACATACGAGTCACAAAAGGTTTACATGAAGTAGTGCGTCACATTATAGTTGCACTACTTCATGCAAACCTTTCATATGTGACTCGCATGAAATTTTGTAATTAGCCCCTGGGGACGAGGCAGTTAATTAAAGCAATGAACAAGTAAGAGACCCTAGCATTCAGTTAACTTTCATAATTGGCTTCGCTTGAAATGTCGGAGATTTACTTATAGCTATACGGATTTCTGAGATAGACGAAAGGCAACAACGGAAATATAGATAACTCCATGCATGGCCAATTTCGTGGAGGAAAATGTAACCTTTCATGGAAATAGTCTTCAAACATTGTTCGATTATACTGCGCAAAGACAAGTGCTTGATTTATCAATTCTGAAAACTCAAAGTAGAGCTCCAGAATCATGATTATGTCTTTATAAACTGGATAGGTTTAAAAAAACAAAGAGCAACACTTCCCAACAACCCAATGGCCAAAACTAACTCATTCAAATAAATTATCGCGATCGTACTAAAAGTAAAGAAAACCGGTTGTCTATTATTATAATTGGGTGAATCCAATAAAGTAATATTAAAAATACCTTTTAACCTCGATTTCAACATTGTGTTTGCTATATTACTATAAAATACCTACCTTTGAACACAAATAATGTTAAACCATACAAGAGTAACCAGCGATAAACTAGCCACGACATTCTGCTGCTGATTGTGGAAACTGATGCAGTGAAAGCGATAGCCAGTTATATGCTTGTTAAACCACGAGTTCCTTGTCTTTGTAGTTTCGCATTTTACTTCCTGAGAAAACACGATAATATGTTAATAAAACTGACTTTATACAAAGAACAATGTTAATCACCAAAACAGTACTTGGAAATATAATTGGATTCAATTCTATATACACAGTTCATTCTTTGTCGGTTTGGATGGCGACCAATATAATTGATTTGTTCGATGGCAACACCACGTTTATTGCTTTCGAAAAAGCTTTCGATCTATAAGCAAGAAAGTTCATCATGCATGCAGCAACAAAGTTTTCTGCAAGCTTCCTTTTTCGTGAAATGTTTACCCACGAAATTTTGTTGATAAGTCGCGAGTTAAACCATCTTTAAATTTGTACCAAGACTTATAAATAAATGACCCGTATAGCGTATGTTAGGAGATATTTATTCAACTGTTAAAATTTGAATCCAAAATGAAAATAATTTCAATACTGAAACAACAGTTTTGCACTCAATTCCCAATCGTGGTAAAATGCAATTTCAATAGGGTGTATTTGTCAATCGGGTGTATTTGCCAAATTTTCGTTGCAATGGTGCATGCATGCAGGGACGCTGGAACTGGGGGGGGGGAGGGGGCAGGAGGGGCAGCTGCCCCTCTTGCCTTTTGCTAAGAGGGGCAAGGGGGCAGAAGTGCCCTTTTAGTTATAAAATACTACCTGATAAATCACATTTCCAGTGATGCTTTTTGGGCAAAATCATGAGGTGTGATCTTGAATGTGTCCTGAATAAGTGCGTTTGCTTTCATTGGCAAGTCAACACATAATTGTAGGTTTATATCTTCACCGGGGTCTATAGAGGTGCCCTTTGGTGTGCGTTTGCCCCCTTGCCTTTTTATCGTTCCGGCGTCCCTGCATGCATGCAAACTTAGGGACCGGTCATTATTTATGGTGGGGGGTGGCACCGAAAAGAAAAAGGTTGGGTAAATGAAAAACAAAACAACTCAAGGGTTGGGTAATAAAAATTTATTGTCATTTCAAAAACATGACTCACCATTTGGCAATACAATATGTGAATCAATCAGAGTCGCTATCTTGATCATTTTGACAAAACAAATGGTGTCTCCAAAGAAACTACATGTGCAGACAACATGAAACTTTAGACTGCAGAAAATTTCACAAGCCGTTATCAAACTCGTGTCACAGAAGTGGTAAAGGACATGTGTGACAACTGAATGGTGTCTTTTTGTAACGTTTCTGGCCAGGGGTGGGTAATTATTTTGTAATTGATATTTGAGGTTGGGTAACCAAATTTTTTACATTTTAATGGTTGGGTCAGCAAAATTTTTGCCACGAAAAACATTTCTCTTCGGTGCCACCCCCCGCCATAAATAATGACTGGTCCCTTAAAAAGCGGAAGAAGTTATTTCGCTGACCTCAGATGACATTTCGTCAAAACTTTTTTCTTCAAGATGGTTTAGAAATAAACTAGGAGTAGGGTTAGGTTAGGGTTAGGATTAGAGTTGGTGTTTGGAATAGACTTAGTGTTAGTAAAACCATTGCTTTGTTACGTTTTGTCACTCTGAGGCCAGCGAAATAACCTCTTCCACTTTAAGGTCCATGCATACAGAGCGGACGCGATTTGGCAACACGACGCGAATTTCCAATTTTCAATGACATTTAACTTCAATATTTTCTATGTTTTTCAAATATTCGGAACCACTTAAGCAATTTTAGTTATTTAATCTGCATATCTTGTAAAATTTTTATCCGTTGACGGTCAGTTTAATTGCTTTTTAAAAACTGAAAATTCGCGTCGCGTTCCGTCTGTATGGACCTTAAAGAAGGTATCATTTCACAGCTAAAGGCCTGCATGACATTATTATGACAAATGCAAATCTATATACCAAATGGGGGGCCATGGGGCAATTGGGGGAGGGGGTGGGGCGGGGGGGGGCAATTGGGCGAAAACAAATGAAGTTGGGCAAATTCCAAAGCAAATAATATTTAAGAAAATAGTCCAAAATGCAACCAGAATGTAATTTGGCAAAAATTTTAATCAAATCCGTTTATTTCAAAACGTTTGAACATAATACTTCTATTGGTCCAGACAAGACTTCTGGGAAAATATCTCCATGATTATTATAACAATTAAGCTATTATAGGAAGATTGTTGTAAAGTTTCGTTAATTGAACAACCAGCCGCCTGGCTGTGTACATTATAATGTAAAGCACTCTTACGCACTTAAGATGAATGACACTGACAGTGCTAATCTCAAACCGCATTTATTATCTATTATAATAGTCATAAGGTCCAAACACACCGGACGCGATTTTTCGATTTTCACTGCATGACCGATAACTTTGATCCTATAGTTTAAATGTTCTAAATATTTAGAAGAGCTATAACATTTTGAGATATTTGGTCTACATATCTTTTCAAATTTGCTTTCATTGCCATTGGCTGTTTTATTAACTTTCAAACACTAACAAATCGAGTCGCGTTGTCGAATCGCGTCCGGTGTGTCTGGATCTTAAAGTGTTCCGTTACAGTGTAGAAAGTATAGAGATATTTTAATATTAATTTAATTCAAAAATGAAGTTCTTAGCTCTTTATACGATAGTGTATTATAATGGAATTGAAGGTCAGTGACAGTGTCTGAAACCTATAATTATATTGTAAGAATTTTAATATAAACAAGTTAGAATTTTATTGGGAGTCGTGTAAAGTTGCTTTTGATACGTTTGAAAGTATTCATGGTTTTATTTGCTGTAAACAGTTCGTTGATACTGATTAGACAAAGATACATGTTCAATATTGGAGTAATAGCGATAAGTGTAGTAAACAAGAAAGCAAATCAACACTTCCTTAGCACGCCGTAAAAATATTTCGTTTTCCTGAAAACTATAGACCAACCTCGTATATACCCAGTGTATTTCCGTATGAGACCTGAAGCCACTAATTAAAATTAATTTTAAAAAAATTAATTAAAAATTAACCGAGCATGCGTAGATTGTACATCCTTATTTATAATGAAATGAATATTATAGAATGTTACAGTCGTCGAATTTTTAAATTTTGGTTGGTAGATATTTGAGGGTACGGAAGGCTGAAGAGTGAAGGCCCAAAACAATACGAGACTCTAATACTTTGTGCCTTATTTTTATAAGTCAAAATAAAGGAAAACAAA